GCCTGCCTGGGACAACCTGTATTATCACAGAATGCACCATTAAAAACAAAAATTGATTTATTTTAGGATTCTGGTACAAAGCACCAACTTACAAAATAATGAATTTATTTCTTTAATTTGACATACCGTATAAAAAATCTCATGTACAACATAAAAATTAGGTGCAGTATTTCAACATCTTTGTGATTTAAATGTAGACATAATTAGTTTATTCAATTTTCATCAAATATTGCTTTTGTTACAAATAAACAAAAAAAATCTGTTGCAATAATAGCTTTTTGAAAGTACTGATAACACTCAATACCTGATACAAAGTCTAACGTTTAAAAATCTTGTAATGTAAAAATTTTATTGAATTTCGTAACATTTCTTAATAAAACGATTTAAATCTTTAATAGATTCTCAGGTGGTGGGTCGCGTTCTCCACATTTTCAATAGTTAAAACCCTAATTTCAAAAGAAATGCCAAACCCACACAAATTCTTCACCTGTCTCACTGACGTATTCATTCCTAATTGAATTTATTGCAACTCCCATTTAGTCAGGAACCAAATAATAAACAAGAACCGCACTCAATAGTAGTCTCCGTTCCGGGTACTCCAATAATCTAATAATTTATCTCCTTTTACTTGAAATCTTGCAGTCCCACCCCTTATTCATTCCACAGAAAAGAATTCAATTGGTACCCACCCCTTAATCAATATAACCCATTTTTAATCGCAAACAGTGGCAAAATTTCTGTCAATTCACAACTTTAAATAATTAATAGCGGCAGTAAATAATTAAAGAGTGCAAAATTTATTAGATTGACCAAACGATTAGTAACCGTAACCCTCGAGGTTTTTAAAGACCATGTTTTATATGAGTTTAGTGTCTTGATAAATTTTTTAAACATTTTTTCCATGTTATCTGGTATCTAATCCTATTTAAAGTTTCTTTCTGGGGCGCATGGCATTTTTCTCTGGGGCGCGAGTTCTGGCGCACCTGTATACATAAGTTATTCATGATGAATTTCCAAATTTTATTGTAATTTGGACCCAATACATTATTGTTGAAAACAGAGCACTTCCTGTGTGAATTGTAAGTATTTCATTACAAACAGATTTTTTCACAAAAAAAATAAAATTGTTCAGGTCAGGTCCTGAAAAATTATGAAATGTCCACTTAAGTGTGGAAAATTCCGAAAATTTAAATCAATTAAAAAGTCGCAATTTTCTGGCTTCGCATTCTTATTTCTTGGTCCCGGACCTTCATGTTTTTGCAAAACACGTGGCCGGCATTCCTATTTTCTTAATAATTTAATCTACGTAATAGACACCTACCTTAACGCCGAGGACCAATTTGACCATGACCAGGAACCAATTCGGTTATCATTATTAAGAATTACATTTGTTTATTTTGGTACTTATTGCTTGTGTAGAGGTTACTTTTGATTCAGACTATAATTAGTTTATCAGTAAAAATTATTGTGGGTCTTGGTTATAAAAATTATAAAATTTTATTGAATAATTAATCACTCTCATTATTCAACATATTCAGCAGCATTCTTGCCAAAAAAGATCAAAGCCAAAATATTGAAATATGAAAATCAAATATCTCATTAACTATATTGCATCTATGTAGATTAAAATTTGCTACAAATTCATAGCAGATGATAAATGATTTAATTTGTTCCTAATTTGTTGCAATAAAATTTGGCAACATTTTCTCTACGTTACTCACTACTCGTTTCAACACACTTTTAGTCATAAAGTATGACGTACTTATGGTTAATAAGCCAATTCATTTTTATTTTGAAAATTTATAGAATACAGAAGTAACGAACGAAATATTGTTCCAGATAGTGCAAAAATTTTTTTTTAACTCAATGTATAATGTTTTGCAAAAAAAATGTATCATTTCCCTTACAGACAGACAGAAAGAATAAGTGAAAAAGTAAAGAACTGTTTCGACAACGTTATTGTGACATTCATAACAAAATAATAAATATAAAATTAAGAGCATGAAGCAATATTTCGCAGATATTTACGTTTGCAAAGTAGGAGTAAATGACAAATTTATATGAAATTAATTTGTTTGTTAACGACATTGTAGAACATTTTTGAACATATCAAAATAATTTTATGAATATTTTTGGTTATTTGAGCTATTTGTTACACCCAACCAACAAAACTTTTATTAATCAAAAAAATCTTGTTGCTTTGATAAACTTAAAATTTATGGTTTCCCCCCTCTGTTGTTACTTTGTTAATAGAGGCTTATTTGGCAATTTTAATTTATGTGTACGTGATTTTTGATTTCCAATTTTGGAAATGTAAACCACAAATGAAAAAACCTGTTTACGTTCATAATTACCTTGTTTTAATCTCATGTGAGTTGTAGCCGAGAATCTCACAGCAGTATGTAATAAAAACTGTTTAAAATCATATTTGTGGAACGTAAATTTTAGTTTCATAAAGTTGTAACTAGCACGCCCGTCAGTTTATACAAGAAAAACGTTTCAGAGAAATGCTTTTGATGAAAATGAACTGTCTCAAATAAAAAGAATCGGTGTCACAAACGTCAAATCGTCAAATGACAATTAGTACTGTCAGATCATTCGTTTTGAGATGCACCGCCTACTCGGCCTGAAATTCGTAAATGTTAGCAATTTTCCGCGAATTTCGTCGGACTGGGTTCGCCCCTG